TACTTTCTGAACAGTGTGTCGTCAGGCGATTTTCGTCATTGTGTGAATCACAGAGTGTTCTTACACCAACCTAGATGGTACAGTCTTCTACATGCCTAGGAATTGTGGTAGAGACTGCTGCTCCTAGGCTACAAACCTGTGTAGCATGATATGGTACTGAGCACTGTAGGCAATTGTAACATGATGGTATTTGTGTATCTCAACATAGAAAAGGTACACTTATAACGTGGTAGAAGAGGTAAAAATTGGACCGATCCGGTGACTCATTCCTGCAATCACAGCACTTTGGGAGGTCCAGGTGGGAGGATCACATGATCCCAGGAGTTCAGGGTTGCAATGAGCTATGATCATGGCACTGAGCTCCAGCCTGGGTGTCAGAGCAAGTCTCTGTCTCTTTAAAAAAAAAAAAAAAAGAAGATAAAAATTAGTGCACTCATGTGGGGCACTTCCCGTGAATGGAGCCTACAGGACTGGAAGTTGCTCTGAGTGAGTGATGGTGAGTGAATGTGAAGGCTTGGCCATTACTGCACACCACTGTAGTCTTTATAGCATGGTGCATTTAGGCTACCCGGAATGTATAAAAAGCTAAAGTAACTGAACTGCAACTTCACTAGAAGATAGGAGTATAATCTTACTGGACCACCATCATTTGTGTGGTCTGTTGACCAACATGTTGTGCAGTACTTGACTATGTGCCCTTTTGAGTAGAACAGCCGTTGTAGAAAGGTCTGCTGATGCCGTTAGGTTTTATCACAGAGCCCTACCTTGGTCTCCATTTCTAATACCGTGGAGGAGGCTAATGTTGTTGGGAGGATAATCTTGTTAGCTCAGGCACGCCAAGCGTAGGACATGAGCATTGAAGACGTAAAAATGTTAGCCCAACCTTAATCCTTGGTATTTGCCGGCAACTTAAAAAGCAAGCACAAGGCCGGGCACGGTGGGTCACGCCTGTAATCCTAGCACTTTGGCAGGCCGAGGGGGAAGGATTGCTTGAGGCCAGGAGTCAAGACCAGCTTGGGCCACATAGCAAAACGCCCATCTCTACAAAAAATAAAAATAAATTAGCCAGGGTGATGGTGGTCACTTGTAGTTCCAGCGATTCAGGAGACCGAGGCAGGAGGATTGCTTCAGCCCAGGAGGTCGAGGCTGCAGTGAGCCGTAATCATGCCAGTGCACTCCAGCCTGGGCGACAGTGAGACCTTGTTTCAAAATCAGTCAATCATCAGTCAATTTATCAAATCAAAAGCAAACACAAAGGTACAGGTAAGATGTTAGAGGAAATCTGAACCCTTTTCCACCCTTAGTGCTGACCTGTGTTGAGTCTCTTGGGCTCTGGGCTGTAACGAATACCTGACTCTTTGCTCCTCAGATGGAGAAAGTGGTCTTCTGCCCCCTGGCAGGTGAAGGAAACAAGGATATAAGCTCGACAAGGTCCTTGTGTTTCTGACCTGGCTCCAACAAGAGCTTGGCCAGTGTTTTCTTCTCTCGATGTTTGCCCTGAAAATATTGATTTAATAGAATTCAGGTGGTGTGACCTCTAGTCTACATAGGCTAGATACAGCCTGCTTCAACAATAACTTTGCTTCAAACTTCAGAAAACACAGATGTCAATAGTTTTCCTTAGACTCTCAAAAAACAAAGATGTTAGTGCTGTAATAAGCTTGCCAAAAAAGTCACAAACGTTAACCTTTTTCCCAGCTAATGCTAACATTAAAATATTTCTTGTTTATACAATTTTGCCCTATATAGAAAACATCCTGTAAAAATAAACTTGCTTTCACCTATTAAGGCGAGAGACTTCCCAATCCCGCTGTTCTTTGTCTTTCTTTTCTCGTTCCCTCCCCCCACCTCAGGCCCTGCTCTACAAAGACTGTACCTCCACAAGCAGGGGCTGAGCTGGTGGGCCACTTTGCTGTCTCTGTGCAGCTCCCAGCTTGACCGTGGCTGTCTTGGCTGTCACTGCATGGGTCGACTCTTTTCACTGGGACAGTTAATAACCACGTGGGTGTGGGGAACCTGGTTTCGTGCAGCTGTTTATGTGTCTAGTTGGAGTTCTTGAAAGAATGAGACGGTTTTGAGGATCTCATACTGAGGGCTTCAAGTGTAGTGGGATTTGGGGGTAACCTTGTTTGGGTGGAGTTTGTATGAGTAGTGTGTGGTAGACCGGCGTCTGAGGGGATCGTGGAATTCCTATGGTAAACTTTCCAGTTATCCTGAAACCAAGCCACTTGGAAAGTCCAGGGTTACTAGAACTCTCTTTTGGATATTTTGTGTTAGAGAATCATTTTAAGGACATTACAGAAAGTTTGGAAAATGAAGTTTAAAAAGACATTCATGAACCTCTCACCCTAAAAAATCAGCTGTGGTCATATCTGAATATTCCTTTCATCTGGGCGTGGTGGCTCACAACAGTAATCCCACATTTTGGGAGGCCAAGGTGGAGGATCACTTGAGCCCAGGAGTTTGAGACCAGCTTAGGCAACATGGTGAGCCTCATCTCTCTGAAAAATAAAAAAATTAGCTGAGCGTGGTGGCGCACCTGTAGTCCCAGCTATTCGGGAAGCGGAGGCAGCAGGATCATTTGCGCCCTGGAGGTCAAGGCTGTAGTGAGCCATAAAAGTGTGGGATATGTAAAGTTGTATATACATATATTCCTTTCATACATTTCATGTGTATGTTTTTAAATGTCATTGTAATCATAGAGTACATATATTTTCTATATTGCTGTGTTGTTTTTGAAATAAATGTTATAGTTGTGTATTATTCCATTGAGGACTATTGTTTTCTGAAATGTTCCTCTATCATTGGGTATTTGGGTAGCTTCTGCCACTTTGCTGTTGTAAATAACACTGGGATGAACTGGTTTTATGCGTTTTTCTTTTCCAGATTTTGGATGATTTTCTGACAGTAGACACTAAGAATCAGGTGACTGGGCCTAAGATTGCTGTGAACTCTTCCAGTGTACCCCTCTGGAATCACGGGGTGGGTGGAGTTACTGGGTGGGAGGGGCAGGGAGAGTTCCTGGCTTGGGAGGAGCTCCATTTAGGATGTCCGGCATCCAGATGGCTAGGGAGGTCCAGGGCTCCTTGGCAGGAAAGACCTGAGCTCAGGGAAGAGTCAGGGCCTGGGGTCCAGAGAGAGGAGATGGGCATCTGGGTGTGGCTGAAACTGTGGGGAATGTTAGGATTATCCAACCGTCCCTTGGAGGGTAGAGTGAGAAGAAAGGAAGGGCAGTAGGGCTCTGGGGAACATCATTTTGTGACAAGTAGAGAAAGGAGAAGCCATTCAAGAATATCAGAAGTGGACAAGGGTGGGTGTGGACAGATAGGGGCTCCTTTCTTTTCAAGGCCTACTTTGATTAAAATAAGACTGAGCAGGGGGCTGTCTCGATAGAGTCTGGGGGCAGAATTAGCTTGGAAGGTATGATAGTACTGTCTTTTTCTCCAGATGGCCTTTTTAAAAATTATTTTTTGGAGTTGAAACTATGTAGAGGTTAAGGTTATCCTATTTTTTTTTCCTTTGTTTTTTGAGTCTTGATCTCACTCTGTCTCTGGATTTCAGTGGCACAATCACGGCTCACCACAGCCTTGACCTCCTGGGTTCAAGCGATCCTTCTGCCTCAGCCTCCTGAGTAGCTGGGGTTATAGGCATATACCACCACACCCAGCTAATATTTTCATTTTTAATTTGTACAGACGAGGTCTTGCTGTGTTGCCCAGGCTGGAATGCAGTGGCACCTCAGCCTCAACCTGCTGGGCTCAGGCAATCCTCTTGCCTCTGCTTCCCAAGCTGTTGGACTTACAGGTGTGAACGACCATACTTGGCTCTGTGTCTTTTGTTATGACTTCCAAATTTAACTCACTTAAAAAAAAAAGTCAACCAAACGGTCAGTACTTATGCATTTGGATCAGAGTCCTCGACTTTAGCTGTAAGCCCTCCTGTCTTTCTTGTAGCCTCCATCAAATTAGCCTGCCACCTTTTAAGATAGATTCATCTGTGGTTTCTCTTGTTTCTTTTCCATCAGCTCCTCCCTCGTTTTTATTCCTGAGCTGGTAGGCTTGTGCTTTGACTGAATTCCCTGCTGCTAGCTTATAGAGGGCCTTTGGGCAGTCAGAAAAAGGCACCCTTTGGGCAAACACAATCCCACAGGAGCTTGACTTGATTTCACTTCCCATTTCCCTCTTTGCCCGCATTTATGCAGTGCACAAACTGAACAACAAGACAGAGCATTCCTTTTCTCTGAGTCTCGTTACTCTCCCAAGAAATTCAGACTATTTCCTGCTCAAACTTGCTTTAAATGTATTGCCTCTATCCCTGCTCAAAATCATTTCAGTGACTCGCTGTCATCTGTATGTAGTGGCTGTCCTCAGTTTGATCTTCCATCAGACCATAACCAGTGACTCTCAGTTCTACCCGTAGCCACCCCGACACAGTGATATCGGTGAAGACCACAGGGTAGACACATTGAAGGGCTGTGTAGTACTTCCCTTCCTCCCCACTTCCTTCCCACAGGCTCCCTACATCTGACTCCTGGTCTGGCCTTTGCTCGCCTGTCATCCGGCTTCATTGTCCGCCAGGGCCCCATGCTGGCTGTCCTCTGCTGCCATTCTGCCTGAATAGGTTTTGTGCTTCTTGCTTTAGAGTTTCTTTATACTTTGTCACATCCTACTCATCCTTCAAGGTCAAGGTCAGGTTTCACCTCTCCAACCATCCTTGCCTGATCCTTCTGCCTCATGATAATAGTGCCTCCTCTACACACAATGCTCATCTTTCTGTTCCCAATTTTGAGGTGGACCAGCTGCCTTATGTGAGCACACTGTACTGGTGATAACATTACTCTTACTGATTTTCTTTCCCCAGCTGCACTGTAAGTGCCAGGGAGGTGATAGAGGTGTCTCTCGTTCTTCCTTCTCTCAATACCTGCCCAATGCCTGGTGTCCACCAGGAACATGGGCTGGAACAGGAGCCTGTCAGCAGGGGAGGCCAGCCGGGTTGGTTGCATAGCACAGTCCAGGGGAGAAGCAGAGGCCGCCTCTTCCTGGCCACGGGATGGTGACCTACTTTCCCCTTCTTATCTGTGTGCAAAATATTTGTTGTACTTAGTGTGTTCTCCCTGTCATGACGAATGTTTGTCTCTCTCGTTCATATGAATTGAGGGCTAAAGTGCTAGTTGGGTCGGTGGGAAGACAATGGAGGCGAGAACTTGGTAAGCAGTTTTAATTTCTAAATTAGGGAGATCATAGAATTATGAGATTAAAAAGAACTGTCTGTATATATCTATATGCCTGCTTATTGAGAGACATGCTTAGGGTAGAACTGTACCTTTTAAGTGTTTAATTTGGGGATTTATGATAATGTATTTTAAAAGGTCTTTTCTTTTTTGATAACCTGCTTGTAAAAGAAAATGAACTTTTCTTAGTCAGGCTTTCACAGTGTGGATATTTTATTTCTTACCGAAACATCTCATGGGAGAATTTGTCATACGGCTGTGTATGTGGTCAAGTGAATTAACTTTCAAAGTGAAGTTTTGTATAGCCTTACAGGTTAATAACTTTGTGCTCTATTTGAGGGAAAAAAGTGTGTATGTGTGGGGATGTTTGTATGCCTGTATGTTGATATCATTATATGAAATTACTGCTGTAATCCTACTGAACTTTTGGAAATGAGAACCATTGTTCAAATATAGTTAACATGTGTACATGAAAATCTTGTAAACATAAATTTTAGTAAACATTATATTTGTGACTTTAAAATGATGATTTAGTTATGACATTTCTTATAGGTTGATTTGTTTGGGTTGTGTATCTTTCATTTCTTCATAAAATACTTCAGATTGTATTTAGCTATATGTAAGAATGACAGTGCCTTTGGTTTTAAAAGTAATGCTTCCAACATTAGAAAAAATAGAAATTGACCTAGAAAAAGATTCAGAATTCTGAGGTGATTGTTGATTTTAATCAATGTAGGTGAAGTAATCCATTGCAGTGATGTAGCTATTTTCTTTAAAAATTCTTTCTAAATGAGAAAGTAGTTTTGTCTTCTCAATTTACATTATTTGTGTCTTTTTTGGAACATCCTAGTGATTTTTGTTTGATCAATTCTCAATGAATAAACATCCATGAAATCCTAATGTAATGTATAAATATCTCTCCTCGTGTTTACATAATTTATTAGACTTTGTTTTAGTGGATAACCGCTTGAGGAAGCTTCTACATTTTTATTTTCTGAAAGGTTTTTTTTTTGCCCACGAGTACAAAGGCATCACCAGAGCTGCACTGGGAGGAGTGTGTGTTTTTCTCTTCCTTTATGTATAAGGCTCTTAATTTATAATTTTAGACTTCTATTTGCTCTCATAACTCGTTGAATTTTTTAAAATAACCAGTGCCATTTTGTAGCTAAACATGTAGAAGTATAGTGACTTGCACCTGGCAGGCACACGCGAACACGTCCCCAGGACCCCGATGGCTTGACTTAGCTGGTTGCCTCTTGTGTCTTTTTTCTTGCTGTGTATGAAGGAGAACTGCTTTCCTTTGTCTCTGAGTAAATACCGTTGAGAAGGATTCTTGTGAACTGGCACTTGCTGGCTTTTTAAATTTTTGTTTTTTGGAGTCGGGATCTCACTCTGTTGCCCAGGCTGGAGTGCATTGACACCGTCATGGCTCACTACAGCCTTGACCGCCTGGGTTCAGGTACTTCTTCTCCCTCAGCCTCCTTAGTAGTTAGAACTTCAAGTGTGTGCCACCATGCCTGGCTAATTTTTTGATTTTTTTGGTCTTGTTATGCTGTTCTCAAACTCCTGGGCTCAAACAATTTTCCTATCTCAGCCTCCCAAAGTGCTGAGATTACAGGCGTGAACCACTGTGCCCAGCCTGGCTTTTTGGTTTTTGACATTCTTTATTCAGACCTAGACTGTGTGCCTCTGTCTTTCCGGAGTTGAACCTTTTGTTAAGCCAACAATGATGGGAGCCAGGGCAGGATCTTCAGAGACGGTATTGTACGACTCTGTGAGGAAACTGAGGCTCAGAGATGGCACTGTGCCCAGGGTCTCCCTGCGCCACCTGCAGAGCTGGGTCTGCAGTTCAGGTCTTCTGGGTTTTTTCCAGAACCACCACAATCATCATTCTGCCCTCCGTGGTCTGAATGCCAAGTTGCTGTTACCGAGGGATAACTCACGATCTTGCCCAGGAGCCAGAAGAGCGCACTAAACTTTTCTGCCGTGATGCTGAAAAGAGCCCAGGCGGTGGGAGGCCTGTGCTTCTGAAAGAAGGTGGTTGGGCCCAGTGAACTCCAGGCTGTTTCATGTGGGTGTCTTCATCTGGAGGTGTCCTCAGAATTGACAGGGGCCCAGGAGACCCCATGTGCTGCCTACTAAGTGCAAGTCGAGCTTCTAGTTAGAGTACGGGTTTATTGCGAGTGCTTGGGAAGGAGGTCACAGGGATGAAGCTACTAGTGGCGCCGGCAGGGGAGAGGGCAAGGGACAGCGAGATGCTGGCAAGGCTCTTCTGGCTAACACGTTGAGTCACTGGGAAAAGAAGCTGGTGTTCCCGGGTGGCCGTGTTCAGTGTAATCATTACCAGTTGCTCTTGGCGCCTGTGCACCTCCAGGAACACACCGGAGCCGTCGGGTGTGCAGCTGTACTCGAGCAATTTTACGTTCACCCAGGGGGTTCCAGGGCCTCGGGTTTGCCAATCCAAACACCTTCGACTGCCCGGAATTTTCTATCTGCCTCGAGGGAGCGCACTGAGACACCCACGGGTTATAATTAGTGCGTTCCTTGCACAGCTGAGTTTGTGTTTCTGGCTCTCACCGTGGTTTCCAGTTTCTGACCACCTGGTCCCTCAGGAGCAGGATGCCCTTTCCAGACGTTAGCTCACGAGCTCTGGAACATTCGGCGTGAGCTGTGGAGTGTGACTGCAGGTCCCCTGAAAGTGGGTCTGCTGGGTGCGGGTCTGGACCATCTGGGGGGGGGAGGTAGGGCGTGGCTTCAGACCCAGCCTTGACATTGCCCTGTGCCCCAGGTGTCATCCCTACCCTGGCTCTGCAGAGCTGCTTCTGGGAAGAGACCGTGGGGACAGTGACATTGGCTGCATTTTCTCCTCAGAAGATTGAACCCCAGGGAATGTCAATCGCAGATGAGGCCACTCGAGGCTAGTTACCTGGGCACACCTGCCAGAAGGCAGGCAGAAGATCAGGGGATTGGGAAGGGAGGAGAGACCCTGGCATTTCTTTGCCATCCAGGCTACATGACTGTCCTGTGGATGGGTGTTGTATCTTGAAGATTTTATTTTATTTTATTTTTTGAGTTGGAGTCTCACTCTGTCGCCCAGATGGGAGTGCAGTGGCCGCTCCCGGCCACCGCAGCCTCGACCTGCCGGGCTCCGGCGATCCTTCTGCCTCAGCCTTCCAAGTAGCTGGAACTACAGGCGCGCACTACCACGCCCGGCTGATTTTTTTTGATTTACTGTAGAGATGAGGTCTCGTCAAGTTGCCCATATGGGTCTCGAACCCGCGGGCTCAGGCAATCCACTCACCTCAGCCTCCCAAAGTGCTGGGATTACAGGCTGAGCCACCGAGCCCGGCTGAAGATTTTATTTTTTAATTAATTAGTTATTTTCTTGAGTCGAGATCTTACCCTGTTGCTCAGGCTGGAGTGCAGTGGCGCAGTCACAGCTCACCACAGCCTTGACCTCCTGGACTCAGGCAGTCCTCCTTCCTCAGCCTCCTGAGCAGCTGGGACTACAGACATGCACCACCATGCTTGCCTATTTAAAAAAAAATTTTTTTTTATAGAGACAGGGTCTCACCATGTTGTGCAGGCTGGTCTCGAATTCCTGGGCTCAAGCAAGCCTCCTGCCTCAGCATCTCAAAGTGCTAGGATTATAGGTGTGAACCACCACACCTGACCCATCCTGTAGTTTTTAGATTGGAAATCTGAATTCCTGAGATGAACTCCCTTGCATTGGAGCCTGCGTCTGTGGTCCCACAGCCTGTTCTGGACATGTTGACTGGATCAATAGGCTCCCTTGGGGTCAACTGTCACTAGAGCCTTCTGTTATGCAGAAGCAGAGCTTTTTTTAAAAAAACCTGGGATGTTAAGGAGCATTTGTGTGAAAGACCATTCTCCAGCCTCAGGAAAGCTTCCTCCTCACCTGGCTCTTCCTGAAACCACATGTACGACACTACCTGCGTCCACTACTCTCTCTGCTAAGAGAAGGTTTTGCCTGGGATCCTGAACTCTGACTTCTTGCTCCTTAAATAGAAGCAAAGGCTCTTGGGAGTGAGAGAGTTGGTCACTGGTAATCCTAAACCTGCAGTGCTGTTATAGCAACCACTGTTATCTTTGACACAAAAATCCTTCTCATTAGTCTAGATGATAATTTGTGTTATGCTCACTTTCTGCAGCTGGAAAAATCTTTCCCCCATCATTTGACAAATTGGAAAGCTCTAGATACTGTCTTTCACTCCTGAATAACTGGCCTCTGCCTGGGGTTGAGGGTGGTTGGTTGAGGGTATCTCCCAGGTGATGGCTCCTGTTGATAAGGCCAGTCTTTCCATACCCTGATGGAGACTGACCCAGACCTTGACCTTAGTGGTTCCTGACCCATCTTTGCCTCTGCAGAGACACATGCTGGGGTATTGACCCTTTGGTAATCAGAATGTTGGCTAATTGCCACTCCCACTCTCAGAGCTTCTTAAGGCTGAAGTCATGGCATGTGGGCTTCCATTTCCTTCTCTCCATTTGTTTGTCTTCACTCCCTCTTCAAATCTATTCAATTTCCTCAATTGCCGGCTGTTTTTGTGTGTGTGTGTGTGTGTGTGTGTGTGTGTGTGTGTGTGTGTGAGAGTCGGAGTCTCTGACACTCTGACTGGAGCACAGTGACATTATCAAGGCTCACCGCAGCCGCCACTTGCTGAGCACAGGTGATCCTCCCACCTCAGTCTCCCAAATAGCTGAGACTACAGGCATGTACCACCATCTCTGGCTGATTTCTTGACTTTGTAGAGACAAGGTCTTGCTATGTTGACTTGCCTGGTCTCGAACTCCTGGGCTCAAGCAGTCCTCCCACCTCGGCCTCCCAAAGTGCTGGAATTACAGATGTGAGCCACTGCACCCAGCTTCTCATTGCCTGTTAATTTCATGTCCTTTGTATTTTCCAGAATTTGAACACAAGACAACAACATACTGTATGGAAATTGTCCAGTAGT